TCAGTGGCCCTAGGGAATGGGGTGGCCATCATCTGAAATGTTGTTGTTCCCCATGGCCAGAGGGAAAAGAGCTGTGGATGGTTTCAATCCAGCAATGAGGTAAGCACTTCAGCCTGGAGAGGGCATTCGTCACTCTACCCACCACTTGCTGACCACATTTGTCACCTGCCCCACCGAGGCCCAAGGAATATGGCAGTGCAAATCCCAGAATGGGGAGAACTGGCCATATTTGACTACCATGGCAACCAGAATGCAAAGCGCTGTGCCAGACACAGTAGAAGACAGGATGATACATACCCTTTCACCTTGGTCCTCAGGTTACTTACTGTCTGGCGGGAGGGATAAGGACAGCAGACAGTAGAACACAGCAGATAACATATCTGGGCTTCCAGCAGCATTCCACTGAGTCTAGAGGATGAACAGAGTGATTCATTCCCATGGCACTGCTGTGAACTCTGAAGAAATTCATCACCAGGGGTCTGGCAGCGACTGTAAAGATGTTATTTGGGAGACGAGAGCCAGGGTAGTAATAGCTCATCGTTTTTAAAGTTCTAGTGAAGGCTGTCATCACTGGCCACATCATTTATTTAAATATCTATCTGTCGGTGTGAGGGGCCCAGCGAGCAGCAGATGAAATCCTGCCCCACAGAGAACCTGGGAACCAGGGAGGCACAGGCACAGTGGCAGGCTGGGGTGGTGGGGAGGAGACACACCTGGGATACACTCACACTTGATAGGATTCTTTTCCAGCACGATCCAGCCTTTCAACCACAGATGCTTATTGGGTGCTCACTTGGTACAACAAAACAGGGATGTCAACATGGGAAATACAGCAAAACAAAGGGCTAGCCCTGCCCTCAAGGTGCTTGTAAGGAATTAAGAGAGATGCAGGGAAAATATCACCATCAAAATGTAGTAATAATGAGTGCCTACGTGAGTGATTCAGACACATCCTGCAACAGCTGCAGAGGAAAAGCAAGCTCCCCTGGTAAAATAAGTCCAGGAGTGAAAACAGAAGAGGTAAACTCTCTTTAGTCCTGAAAGATGGGTAAGTTTTCGGTTGGTGGAGGAAAGGGACAGCATGAGAAATGACATGTACAAAGGTGTTTAGAAAGGAAAATGAAAGGCCCAAGTAGAGTTTAACTAGAACAGGGACTTTGTATAGGTGAGTGGTGGTTAGAACAAAAGGTTGGTGAAAAAAAAGTTGAAGAAAAATGTGACTCCCCGTGCAGAATTTATCCAAGGGGCAATGAGAGCCGTTGAAAGGATACAAACTAACATTTATGAAGCATTAACCATTTAAGGGCCAATGTTAGACACCTTACATGTATTAACATATTTTATCTTCATCCCAACTCTCAGAGGTTAGCAGGAAGAACCCTACTTACAGAAGAGGAAATTGAGGCTCACAGGTCATCTGGTAATAAGGGATAGAGCTGAAATTCAGACACAGGACTATCTGGTGTTAAAGCTGTGCCTCTCTGTCACACCACACTGACTGTCCGTGAAGACTGTGGGTTGGAACATGACATAGTTATACAACACATGACGAAGATCAAGGAAACTGGCATAGAGAAGAGAGACTGCCGACGGGGAGTCTGAGAAGGAGGTGATTGTAAAAGTCCAGGTTTTGGTAAGGGCTTGAACTGAGGTGATGATGCAGGAAATGAGTATGACCACGAACGATAGGGAAGTCATATGAAATTGCCAAATTGGCAGGAAAGATGGTGCCTTTGATTGTACACACAGTAGGTTTGAAGAAGATAGATCGCCAGGTTTTTGTTTGACAGTAGAAACCAGATTAGTGAAGTGTTAATTGTTGGAAGCACAGGCACTCTGCAACCTAGGCAAACTACTTAACTTCCATAAACCTCAGTTTCCCCTTCTGTAGGGATCTATGTAAGGATTAGATGAGGTAATTCATGCACAGTATTGAATATAGAGCTTGAGAAACAGGAAGAGTGCCTCATTAGTGATAGTGGACGTTTTATTGGAGAGAGAAGGCAGAGCCCAGAAATGCGCCTTTTCCTCCGTTATCTTCCTTGGCTCTGCAGGTGTTGCCTTGTGAGCCCTGGAAATGCTGCCTACAACTTCCATCATACAATTGTCCGACTGATCTTGGGCTTGCCCATCTGAACATTGCACTTGACTTTTGTCACCTGCACCTCCATGGTGGGGGTAGGAGTCTGGTCTGCCTCATGGTGTGATGGGCTTGGGATTTCCAGGCTTCCAGACAGAGGAAGACATCAGCACCCTCCATTTCAGTCCGCTGTGATTATGGAGCTGTTAAACCATCATCACATTACACTATCTTCACAGGGAGTGACTGAATGTTCTATGCAAAGTGAGAATTTGAGAGAAGAGACTCTCAAATCACAACCACCACCATCACCAAGGTCAAAGAAACACTCCCTGCTCTTATCATACAGCAATATTATCTGATGCCAGAGAATTTCATAAAAAAACTTGAATGGGCAATAAAAAGAAGCCCCCACACTAGGCAGGCAATCAAATTTCTACATCTTAAAAGCCCCGATGAATTACATACAGAGTAACCAGGTTTGTCCTCATAAAAGTCATTCTGCTATCCTCAAACTCATCATAAAAAGATCTATATTAAAAATCAGCATGATGTCCATAAAAGATTGAAGCAAAAAAAAATAATAATAATGTAATGTTGATTCTCCCAGGGCCCAAGGCAACCCTGTCTTCAAGGTACAGCTTCCATGAATGTCAGCATAAGTAAAGGTCTCCATCAATTGGTTATTCAATAAAGCCAAGGAGTAGCTGAAACCATATACTTGTATATATGTTTAACTCTTTGGAAGCTGAAGAATGAACAGAAAACATAAGTGAAAGTTTTACTATTCTGTTAATACTGTCATAATTTTGGTCCACCCCAATCTCAAACAGGTCTTACAGGATTAAAGGGTTACCAGCCTAAATATTTATTTTATCCACCCATGCTTGAATTAATTTTTCAAAATAAGACATTGTCTTGGATGTTTCTTGTTGCCACAATCACCTGCTTTTCCCTCTTGCTTTCTCTGTATGTTCCCTTCCTTAAAGCCAAAGAGTCTGAATTTCTTTCCCCAGACCTCAGAGAGGTCTTGTACACTGGGAAATTGACACTGAACATGAAAGACAGAAGCTACCTTCTTGACCTCAACATGCCTACCTTAAGAAGAGCTTTCGGGAAAGCTGTGATGGGGCCCTTCCGTCACTGGCAGGGGGACAGGGCATGGCCTCATGGGATGTGTTTTCCAGGTTCTTGCAAATAAGCATGGTGGACATGATGACACCATGGGGCCTGAGCAAAAGCCTTGGCCTTATGGGATATTCCTTGTGGCACATGAGTCAGAATGTGCTATTTCATGGCAGGTGAAGACACTGGGGCCTCAAGACTTGCAATGATCTGTCAAATATCAAAGCTCAGCTTCTTAAAGTCTTCATTCCCTAAGCTATAAAAGGGGGGCAACAAAATAAGGATGAAATGAGATGACCCGGAACGCTATAGACTTTTCACATTCAACCATTGCTTGGCCCTACCTGCCTGTCTGAGCGGTGGTAAAGACGCAGTTCTGTCCCAGTCCCATCCCCTCCTCTCCTGAGTCCTTCAGTGCTGCTCACCACCTCTCCTTCACCTTCTCTTGCTTCTCCTCCAAGAAGCTGCAATGAGGAAGGTGTCCATGTGGCAGAGTTTGGGTTGAGACTCACTGTTCTGGGGGCCGATGAAACTAGACTCAACCCACTGGCCCCTGCGAGGGCCTCTCTGTAATCACAGCAGTGCTGGGCTACCTGCTCGAAAAGGATGGCATGTAGCAGAGGAAGGAGGCATGGCCGCGCCCGGACACCCTCTCAGGGTTCATCTGGAGGAGGCCTCCTCAGTGTTCCCCTCCCCACTGCCCATCTTTGTTATACACTCTCCCTTAAAGCCAGAAGCCCCCTGTCTTGCTTCCTCAAGCAGAGGAGGTGACCTGGCAAAGGTAAGAATGAGGTTCTGAGTCAGGGGAGGCTGAGAGCAGAGGAGGGAGGAGGAGAGTTTCATTCCTTCAGTGTTGGGGGCTAACTCCTAGGAAGAGGAGGCCTGTGCCTCAGAGCCATGGGTAAGGTCATTTATAGAAACTTTGGTGCCTCTGCGGGGTTTCTGGAGTGGCTCCCGTGTGCCACAGAATAAAGCTCGCACCATTGCCACCACCTCCTGGCTGACCCTTGATCTCTGGCTTGTAAGGCCAGGGCTGACTGTACATCCCTCCTCCTCCTTCCTGACAAGCAGCAGAGACACTCCCTGAGGGCTAGTGCCTCCACACTGGCTACAGCCTCATCTCCAGCCTGCAGGAGCAGGGGGGTCTCAGTAATGAGACACCTACACATACCCTAAGTCCCAGGGGACAAGGTGGACAAGGTGGGAGACCCCTCTCTTAAGCTCCATCTTAGTTCGTGGCAATTACTCAGATCAAGGGAGAGAAACAGATTGATCCCTTCATCCCTATCCTTACCTTGGCATGGGAAACCACTACCCACGGTGCCTAACACTGTTCTGGCATGCCTCACCCCTGTCCTAGCTGTCTCAGGCCATGCACTGGGAGACCCTCTCCTCCAAGTATGTCTTTTTAAAATTTTTAATTTCATTATTTTTGATTTCCCCAAATAGTCTTCATCGTCCAGTATGTCTACCAAGTGCTGCCACCCGCTGTCTGTTGGGAAAATGACAAACAAGTTTCTGCCTCCTGACTTGCTTACGGGGCCATGAGCAACTCCATCATGTTTGGGTTAGAGCAAGTGAAAACAGAACAAAATATTGGGATTTGATGATACTGCAGAAAATCTAGGTTCTGACCATTTTCCCAGAGGGTCTTTCTGGGTATCATCAGTGGGACCTGGGCTTCTAAAACTGGGTGGGGAGAAACTCATATTTTGTCCTTGTCATTTCTGCCCAGAGTTATTGTCACCCAGACGGACTGGAATGAGGAGAGAGTAGCCAAGACAAAGAGAGAAAATTAGTGTGGACCATGAGACACGAGTTTATAGTTTATTGTTCCTGGGCATAGGATGGAGCCTTCCTGCTCTTCTGTCTCTGGGGTGTCCTCTGCATCTCCATCTCCATCCTCTCTGGCTTCCGACCATCACAACCTCTGCAAGCACACTCTGAAGTTAAGAGAATAAGAGAAATAAGGAAAGGAGATAAGTGAAGAAAAAACTACATCTACAGTTTTAAAAAAACTGTCATTCTGGGATCTGAAGGCAGAGTGCTAAGACATCCCTAGTTATAAAACCTATCTTGATTGGAATTTATTTATTTATATATCTACTTCCTAAGATGTTCATCAGTAGCTTCCAACAAAAGATGCAGATATAACAAAATTAAATAATTTAATTAGCATTAAGTGAGAGTCTAATGTGTACAAAGCATTGGGTTGCAGGGAGCTTGGCCTTGTGCAGAGAGCAAGGGACTTGGAATATCTTGTAGCAGTGTAACCTGAGAAAGTTAATTTTTAAGCATCAGTTCCTCTTCTGTAAAACCAAGTTAATAATTGTAGAACCTACCTCACAGACTTGTGTTATGGGTTTAAGTAATGTATGTTGAAGTGCTTAACGTAGTCTCTGGCAATTCAGTAAGCACTTAATACACAGTAAGTATTACTGTGATAATTCATTTCTGGGCTAAGAAAGAAAATGACGGTGGGGACATTGTCCTTCTTCTGAAGGAGACAGAGAGGTTGGGAAAGACTTGATGTGTTTGGGGACGGGTACAGAGGTTGCTGAGTGACTAGGGAGTACACAAGGAGAAGAAGGAAGCCAGGCTGCACAAGCCTGAACGATGAATTTATCCTATGAGCAATGAAAAGCTACTTGGCAATTGAGAAAGGTCACTCTGGTGGAGGTCAGATGAAAGTAGGAAGAGATGGGAGACAGGACACAGTCATGGCCTATTGTAAGAGGTGAGGTAGAGACACAGAAATAAGTTTCGCTGGGACGTTGGAGTGGAGAGGGAGAGTGGGGGCAGATTCCAAGGCCTCTGGCTTGTGTTATTTGGGTCGCTCCACTAGAATGTCAGCTCCATCAGGGCAGGGGACTTGTTTTGTATATTGATATATCATCCCCAGCACCTAGAACAGTGTCTGGCACATAGTAAGAACTCCGTAAGTATTTGTTGAATGAATGGATGGATGGTGGTGACATTACACTAGGAAGGAAATAATAGAGAACAGCAAATTTGGAGATGAAGATAATACTTTTATTCTAGATATGTTGAACCTAAGCAGGCTAGGGGATATTCAAGTGAAGATGTCTCATGTGGAACATGGAAACTGCGGCCTGATACTCAGGAGGTAACTTTAGGCTTGAGTAGAGTTTTGAACACGTTGGTCTGTAAGATGGCTGAAACTATGAGATGGTTCAGATCTACCTGTGAAATTGTGGAACAAGAGGGGAAAGGGTCAAAAATAGAGACAGGTGAAAATCCACATTGGAGGTCGGAGGCAGGGATTTAAGATGAGCTAATAGATGGAGAGAAGATAAACAGCAGTGGCACAACTGGGTGCGGCAGCTCGCATCTGTAATCCAGCATTTTGGGAGGCCAAGGTAGGCCTGAGGTCAGGAGTTCAAGACCAGCCTGGCCAATATGGTGAAATCCTGTCTCTACTATAAATACAAAAATTAGCCAAGTGTGGGGGCAGGCACCTGTAATCCCAGCTACTCGGGAGGCTGAGGCAGAAGAATCGCTTTAACCTGGGAGAAGGAGGTTGCAGTGAGCTGAAATCGCACCACTGCACTCCAGCCTGGGTAACAAAGTGAGGCTCTGTCTCAAAAAAAAAAAGATAGTAGCAGACAGGCTATGAAATGTAACTTCAAGAAAGAGTAATAGTACCAGCTACTGCAGAGGGCTTGAGTAGACCGAGGATCACAAAGGCCTACTTAATGTGGCAGTGAGGAGCCCCCATCCCTTCCATCAGAATGGCTTTCTATTTTCCACTTCCTTATCCAAATAATTAGCAAATAATCACAAATCATTGTAATTAAATGCAAAATCAAATAGGCACATTTATGCAATACTAAGGAGGGACTTCTTTCCCAATTTGTCATGTTTACAATAATGTAAATATCAGGTTAAAAAACAGAAATGTTCAGGTTCTAATGAAATCGTTCCCTTTCTCACTTTGCTTCCATGTGATATTTTAGGTTATTCCTGTAGCTATTAATAGTGCTCTAATCCACACAATTTGGGAGCAGATTGTCGCCTCGGAGGACTTTAGATTGGATGCACACTTGCCTCTATTTCTATGAAAATTTCATGTTTCTTAAATGTCATTTTTTGAACTTTAGATATGCGAACTTAGTGTGAGACTCTAAAATGCAATGATTTCTTTTTACAGCCATGATTAGATTTGTTTAAATAATTGGTCAGTTCTGACAGTTGTATTAAAATCTTTCAAAAAAAAAAGATAGAAACCAGAACATGCTATCTAAAGTATACATCCTCTCCTGTTGTTTTGGAAAGCCAGTGGCACATACTTCATATGCAAGACCCTCATTGTTAGGCCCCTTACATATGGACCATCAAGTGCTGGCTACGCATTTTTCTATAAACTCGATCTTCCATAGCTCAGCTGCTTTGCCGAGGCACAGTCCTGGGGAAGGTTGCCCGGATTCTCAGTTCAGCATAACGTTTGAGTGATACAGCACAGTATTCCTGTTCATATAAATATTTTAAGTTGAAAAAACCCCTTTTGTTATTTTTCTCTCTGCCTAAGAAATACTTTCATGAACTCTTCCCATAACAGAGCAGTTCTCTGACTTCAGTAACCCTGCAGAGAGACAAGGACAGCCTCTTGGCACTGCCGGGTTTCCACAACTAAAACATTGAGAGAATATGCAGAACCACACCACTTTTGGGTGAAGAGAGAGGTCCTTATTTTCTTTCAACTGTACATCCTTTCTCCTTCCCAGTTCTGGATATGGAAAAAACTAACACTGGAGTTAATAAGGAAGTAGGTGTGTGATCACACTATTAACCTCAGAGAGCCTACTTTGGAGTTTCCAATTTCCTTCCCATTTGTGGTTGGAGTGTGACCTGTAATCTGGAGTTTTATTCAATAATTACTTCTTTGAAGGCATCTGTGACTAATTCCAGCCACTAGTTCTCTTCTCTTCCTTCCTTGTCTTCCTTTTTGCATTGTGTGTGTATGTGTGTGTGTGTGTGTGTGTGTGTGTGAGAGAGACAGAGATTTATCTTTTTCCTTTATCCTCCTATGTTTTCTATTTATTCATTCATGTATTTCTCTCCCTTCACTTATCTTGCTAACTTACAGAATACTACAGAACAAGGATTATATTTTTTTCGTTTGTTTTTCATTTCAAAGTACCTAGCGAGAGATAAGAGTATCTAGGCATAAAAGAAGTGTTTAACGAGCACTCATGGATCAATTATGTTAGGACGAAAACCAGATGCTAGGATCCGGTGTTGTACCCTTTCATCCTGAATAATGCATTTTGCTCAGCAATTATCACCCCAACCTTCATTGGGGATCCATGAACAGACCAAAAATTTAGTGTGTGTTTGTGTATGGGAGAAAATATGTGTGGATGTAAGGTATGTGCATGTGCCCAGTCTGCAGCCTGCATCAGAGTCAAAGGGGTTCAATCCTCAAAAGCTCAGGGAAGTTCTTTTTTTTCCGTTTTTCTTCCGTCCCCCGGGAAGGAGTTCTTTCCTTCTCCTTGGTGCTGGCAGATGAAAAGTGCAATAACTCAGCACTTTTTTTTTTTTTGAGATGGAGTTATACTCTTGTTGCACAGGCTGGAGTACAATGGCACGATCTCAGCTCACAGCAGCCTCCGCCTCCTGGGTCCAAGCGATTCTTCTGCCTCAGCCTCCTGAGTAGTTGGGATTACAGGCATGAACCACCACGCCCAGCTAATTTTGCATTTTTGGTAGAGATGGGGTTTCTCCATGTTGGTCAGGCAGAACTCAGACTGTTTTGGAACCAGTCAGGGTCTTGCAGACATGAGGAAATGTATCACTAAAAGTTTTAGAGGCCAGTTGTGGTGACTCACGCCTGTAATCCCAGCACTTCGGGAGGCTGAGTTGGGAGGATTACTTCAGGCCAGGAATTTGAGACCATCTTGGGCAACATAGCCAGACCCATTTCTACAAAAAATAAAAAAAATTACCTGGGCATGCTGGTACCTGCCTGTAGTCCCAATTACTAGGAAGGCTGAGAAGGGAGGATCACTTGAGCCCAGGAATTTGACCTTTCAGTGAGCAATGATTGTATCATTCACTGCAGCCTGGGCTACAGAGTGAGACCCTGTCTCATAAACAAACAAGCACCTTAGAGATGAGATGGGATGGGATAAGGAGGGCTCTGAGTTGGCCAAAGACCAAAGTCCAATTTTACTAGAAGACTCTGGGGCCTAGGTACACACAGAGAACCTCCGTGGTTATCAAATACAACCCAAGCAGTGTGTTTGGCACTGGCCTTCCTCCAGGACTGTGACTCTAATGGCTATTTCAGTTACGAGTCCTGACAACAATGATTTTTTTAATGTATTCTGGCCATTAATGGGTGACATGGAGGCAAACACTTAGTAGACAACATTATAGAGTAAGAAGAAGAAAAGCTGGAAGAAGAGGAGAAGAAAGACAAAGATTTAAGAGAATAAAGACGGTTAAATACGAAACTGGCTCCAAAATATATTAATATAAAGGATTATGGCGATTGAATGGAAAGCCTCCTAAGGTTTCATAAAGGGAAAATCGTTCACTAAGCTGGAAATAGAAAAAAGAATAATTTTAAGTGCACGTTTCAGATAAATTATCTTAGTTCATTTAGTACCAATATTTCTAATGAACACTTAGGGCTGATATGAATCATTTCTCTGCTGACTCCATTAGGAAGCCTATTGGGCGTGCAATTTGAGTGGGATTACAGAGAGAGATGTTGAGAGATCTGTGATTTAGAAGGTGGGCAGCTCTTCTTTGATAGGTTTGAGTGTCCTCTAACTCCATGAAGAGAGGGTCTGACAAGCTCAGCTTCAGAGGCAGGCTCTGGTTAAGACAGGCAGCATTGGGTCCTTCACCGAGTGGCTGGCTCAGAGGAAATTTACACTGGTGATTCACTCATTGCCATGGTAACCACTTGAATGCA